CGATGCAGAGGGGGGGGGCGATCCCGAGCTTGACCCAGGGGGCGCTGGCTCCCTGCCTTGGGGCTCCACTCAAACGGCCCTTTGGGCCCGCCTGGCGTGTGTGTGCTGGAGAGTCCGCTCTCAGGGCGCTCTTAGGAAAACAGACAACAGCTGCTGCTGTCCATTGCACATTGTCACCTCAGCATCTGCCAAAGGACTCTTATGAACAATTTGATCCCTGGGTGACAAAAGCACGAGCCGTCACACTGCTTGGTGTAAGAGCTTTCCTTTCCTTTTGGCAGAAGGGGGACTCCTGTTTCCCTGAGTGAGGCAGAACAGGGGACTAAGGTAAGACATGCTTGCAGGTAGAAACTGGTTTATTGATAAAAGGTCTCAATGCTAAATCAGACTGGTAAAAAATTACACTTTAAAAAGATTCTGTTGGGAAAGTTCGAGAAAGAGAAGAGAGACAGTCATATTCATAAGTAAAGAGCATGGTCAGTTTTCACTGAGCACACTCTGAAACCTAAAATACCTGAAAACAACCTAATCAGACTGATCACATTTAGATTTCTTAATGAAAACTGTATGTGGTCAAGGAATGAGTAAAAACGTTCAGGATGCCCACCCCTAAATGCTCCTAAGTAAATCTTCTAATGCTGATTTCTGAAGTGAAATATACCTTTCCTTAAGTTTGCTCTCAGATTCCTTCAGCTTTGTTTTCAGATGACGTACAGTGACTTCTTTCTGCTGCAGAGGAGTCAAATACTGCTCCGGATTTTGTGGCTTAACGCTGTGACTGTCGCCACAAGAACTGTATCTCGCTGATCGCCTGAAAAGAAGAAAAAAACTCAAATCATCACAGAACATCACTCCTACAGTTCTTCAGTCCTGGCAAAAAGAAAAACATCACATTGACTGACCAAAAGCTCGACTCCTTTGTGGCTCCTCAGTGTCTGCAAAAGTGATTCTGGCAAATCAAAGTACTTACGAAACGGCTGATCTGTGGCTATAGCGCAAAATTTACTATTTATTGTACTCGGTTTCAGTGCCATTACATCAAAGGAGACATTTAACTTTAAAATACCCAGCCATCCCCTCACCCGACACGGGCGGTGTGCCCAAGAGTAGGCAGCCGGGCCACTGGCAAGGGCACCCATCTGCAGACACGGCCAGGTGAGGTGGGGTACGGGGTGAGGTCAGCTCCACACGTGCGTTATGAAGCTGAGTACGCTGAGATCTATATTCATCCTACCTAGATTTAGAGGTGTATCTGACATGCTTGGCTGTTGAGTTAGCTGAGAGAGAAACAGCAGCAGCAGTGTGGTGGCAATTTCTTCTCTACAATATGTGTCGCGTGCTGTTTCCTTTCCTGGACAGGAAACTGCCCTCCTTAGGGAGGTGCCTAAGGTTGGGCAGGGCAAATTTTTGCCCGAGCGTGCAGTTTTCTTTACTACCCCACCTAACTCTCTCTGAAGCCAAAGGACCCTTAGATGAAAGAAACAGTAGATCCCCATGAGAACTGATGGCATGAAACCACGTGATGGAGCCTGCCTTGGCATGAAACCCAACTACAAAGGGCCTCGACTAAAAGTAACCTTGAATTTTACAGTGCTGAAACAACTGTGCTTTTACAGGGGATGGAGCACCCTGTTGACTGTCGAGCCACCAATATGAGGAGTCACAGCAATCCTGAGGAGCAAGGTGACCTGCTCGGCAGCTCATGCAGCTGATCCCACATTACAGTGCAGAGAAGGTGTGTCAGTGCGCTGAACACCAGGACGCTGAAATAAAGACTTGCCTCATCACTGGGCTGCTGTCGCTTCCTTTGTAGGAGCCTGAGTTGCTGCTGCTGGCTGAAGAAGCCCTATAACTCTGATGGATGTTAGCAGGACTCAGCTGGTTCTTGCACGGTGTTGAGAAAGGGTCTTTTTCACGGGAAGCGGGTGGGCTGGCTCCAGACTTGTAGGATGAGGATCCATTACTCCGACCATAAGGGCCACGGCTGGAGGGGAACCCAAACGGTTAAAGCATATTGGACTGTCCTCGTCATGCAACCCGTTATGTGTCTTGTTTTACACACAAAGGTGTCTAAACGCTAAACCGGACAGGTAACTGTGAGTAACTGGGAAGAAAGAAAGTCCTGAAGCCATCAGCCTCTGCACATTCTTTCACTGACTGTGGGGCTCTCACTCTGAATTACATGATCTAGGGAAACCTCGGCCATTTTCACATTTCTCTGTGGACAGCACAGTTCCCAATGATTCTATTAGCTCGTCCACATTCCCGAAACTTATGACTCCATTAAGTAATGAGAGGACTGCAGCCTGGACTAGTGCCAAAAGAACCACGTTTCGGCTTTCCCCGGCCAGGCTTGCGGAGAGATGCTCAACCCGGGAGGTTTTCTGTAAGACCGCTTTCCTGCTGCTCAGCAAACAGCCCGAGGGACCACAGTGGGCAGGGAAAACAGATTTTTGTCTGAGCCACTGTTCCTTTCTGCCTGTGGCATACTGGGTGCTCCAGCTGTCTTTGTCAGCTATTGGTTTGCTTACGTATAGTTTGAACCCCTCAGAGAGCAGGCTGAAATGGTTTGAAACTAAACAAAGGAAAGCATGGCCTTTTCTTCCTTCCTTCCTTCCAGTTTCCCTCAGACATGTCTACCTTTCTTTTCCCACTCTTTAGCAAACAACCTGACTGTCAACTGTGGGTGCCCGAAAGCAATTCCTATCTGTGCTGCCCCACAAGTGCCAAAGAGCTGGGGTGCTCTGAGGACAGCTTCTCGAGGTGCCTTCCTCGCTTGCTCGCTTGGTTTGCCGTCCTGCACTGCTACGCTGCTACCTTCATCCTCCCCTGGAAGTTGTTCTTCTAAACTGTCATGAAAGGGCAGGTTTCAAAAAAACACAGAGAAAGGCAAATGCAGCCAGCAAAAGAGAAGGCTTGAACATAAACATTTAAAAACCAGAGAATTATGAAACAAAATCTCTTCTTCAAATTGTCTGATCTGGTTTATTCCCTTCTCTGAAAATGGAACAGTTCATTAGGAACAGATGGCTGCAAACCTTCACGCTGCAGAGGTTTGGGCCATTTTATAATTATTAAACAATCAAGTGCAGGGGTGTGGTTTGTGACAACAATTAAATGTTTCATAGTGAGTTAAGTCAAACAGTTAAAGAAGAACATCTCCCGAGTGATCTTATTGCAGCCTTCCAGTACTTAAAGGGGGCCTACAGAAAAGCTGGAGAGGGACTTTTTACAAGGGCATGTAGTGATAGGACAAGGGGCAATGGATTTAAACTGAAAGAGGGGAGATTTAGATTAGATACAAGGAAGAAATTTTTTACTCAGAGGGTGGTGAGGCACTGGAACAGGTTGCCCAGAGAAGCTGTATATGCCCCATCCCTGGAAGTGTTCAAGGCCAGGCTGGATGAGGCTTTGGGCAACGTGGTGTAGTGGAGGGTTTCCCTGCCCATAGCAGGGGGGTTGGAACTAGATGATCTTTGAGGTCCCTTCCAACCCTAACCATTCTATGATTCTATGATTCTATATTGCAATGGAGACAACTCCTTCCACTTTGTGCAGTGCAGCATCAACTCTGGCATGAGGCAGAACCTGCACAGACGGTGCGTAACACAGCAACGCATTTGAAGGAGCACTGTTACAGAGGACTGCTGTCCACCTAAGCAGGTCAGTGTGCTCTACTTTAAACTTACATACACTGTAATATATGAAATGATTCATAATCTTACTGACAGTATGGCAATTTTAGGGCTTCATATGATACTTAGTCCTGTTTTTTCCCACAGCCAGTTCCTTGACTTGTTAGATTTAATCTCAAGGGTGCTTAAGTAATGTTTATTTTTCTGACAGTCTCACAATACAGGTAGGAAACGGCTCATTAAGCATCCTTCTGCTGATCTCTCTATGCTGGGGCACACTGCGGCCTTGGAGACGTCTGCGTGGCACAAGCATACGGGTATCCCGCTGCCGGTCCCAGCCGGCCTGCCAGTTCTGCCGCAAAGGGCAGGAAACCATTCCTGTCCATTCCAACTCCTTCCACCTACTGAAAGCACAGAACCAGCAGGGATTGCGTGGGCAGAGCACAATGTGCACTGCTCCGTCCCAACACCCCCGTATCCGCAAGGATCCTGTCTGGATTTGCACTTCGCACATGACAGGGAGAAATCTTACAGAAACCTTTCCTGAAAGGTTCATTTAGATAGATGACTGTGATAATTCTTTTTATTTGCCTATAGTTTTAGTTATATAAAGCTTGGGCAAGAATGTTTAAGAAAAAAGCGTCCAAGGCAGTATTGCCTACTTCTTCCTACATAAAACAAGGTCATGATCTGCAAAGGTACATGCCAAGCTGACAACTTATTGCAGAGAGAAAACAAAGTGGTGAGACTAAAAGGTTAAGGTTAACTGGTCAGAAGGACTGTTTTTAACTAACATACATCCTGTTGTTTCCTCCTCCACTTCAGACGATGGCTTTTCTGCCTTACCTGATTATATCTCCCACACTGGTTATGAATGAAAAACAAAAAAATACCAGTCGGCTGATCTGGCATATTGACAGGTTTTGTGCTCCAAAGACAGCATTTTTTTCTCTTTCTGGTATCACAGTTCTCGTTGCTGTAAGCACTGTCTAAGAGCACAGCATTACCCAAACTGTTCGAAAACTCCCCAGTCTGGTACTGTAGGTCTTAACTGCAAGACCTTACCTAGTAGTCTCTCTTTGCACTAGCAACACTTGCACTAGCCAGGAAAAAGTGCTTTGCTTACTTGCGAGAAAAAGACGATCTTTTGCTTCCAGCAGCAGAGACACGGACCTCAGGCGCTGAAATGCTGCCTGTGCTGCTTGAAGAGCTGAAGTCAGCTTCACTCCCTGGGAAGGAAAAGGGAAGACGGGAAACATGATGGAAATTATCACTCAAAGACTGCTTTCAGAATAGAAATGCATCACAAGCATCCTTCCTTTGTCTGTCCGCTGTGAATTTCAGAAGTTGCCTGAGTTTTCAAACATCCCTGAAGACAAGCGCTGGATTTGTTCCTGGTTTCTGGGATTATGGACACATATAAGTACATACGTATCAATGTGCATAGGCTAACAAATGTATGCATATATATACGTTCACATGTATGCAGGTTTTCACGTGGCACAGAAGCATAGTAAGGCAGTTGTAATAGCTTTAAAATAATCCAATAATCACGTTTGGCTGTCAAATGCTTCTCGGGTGCTAAGCCATCTATCTGATTACTGACTTTCTATAGATCACTAATTTGCATTTCCCAAGCTCTGGCACATGCAAGCAAAACTGCTCTCATTTTGCTAGGGCCAGTAGTAGGTAGATGTACTAAGAAAGTCTTATCATCTGGGAAAAAAAACATCCTAAAGTCAGGGTTTTTTTCAGTCTGTCACTTCAGTGGCAAACGTCCCACGCCATATCCAGGTCTCATGCTGCAGAGCCACAATAGCAGATGAGGGTTTTGTCGAGGCAATGGAAATAACTTTCCAACATCCTTTAAGCAGCCGGTCAGGAAAAGCATCTCTCAGCTGACAATTTCTGGGCGCTGTCCCATGCACGGACACTCCCGGCCAGCACCTGCAGACTTACACAAATCCCATTTTTGCTACTTTTTCCACGAGGGGGAGATGCAGCTGCAGCTACTGTCATCCCCACCTCAGCAGATAAACCCTCCCTCCGGTGCACAGTCTCTCTTAAATCCTTCCCAGAGCTGTCCGGCATGTCTTGCATCCCGGTTGGGAAAAGGCTTTTTCAGAGCCTGTCTTCACAGCCGTAAAGAGGATGAGGTATCCGGCAGCCATCCTTACCATTCAGCAACTCATAGCAACCGGTGTTAGGATTAGATGTGTTTGAATTTAACCCAATACTTTCCCAACCTCACCAGGTCCCAGCATTGGGATCAGCCTCCGTTTCTCTCTGCCTTTGGTTCAGCCCAGCCCAGATATTCCTCAGCCAGATTTCAAAGTGCTGAATCACACAGCCCAGCTCTTGAAAAGGGTAATCCCCTTCTAACCAACTCCATAAGTACAACATCCCTGATAACTGGACCCACGTCACCACAGCTGTAACCAAAGTGCAAGTCTGCAAGGGGAGGGAGGGAGAGCAGCAAAGCTGCTTTCTTTCACAGAGTTATTTATATCCTGTCCACAGATGCAGATGGCAGTGACCCTCTCCTTGGGGAAGCAAAATGACCGTGGGACATGAAGTCCGAAGCTGCAACAGAGTTTTCCTGATAAACAAAACACTCCCATCTACAAGACTAAGATATCAAACATTGTCTCAGTGTCACGCTATTCCCAAATCTACTTTTCCAAGCAAGACCCAAACAGGTAAACATATCGCACAGATTTCATACCTCTGGTGTTTGGGCCCCCAAATCACTCCTGCCCTTGCAAGATTCCAACAGCTTTCCAAAGCCAAGTCCTGGCTGCAGCACAGAGAGCAGGAGCCCTAGCTGAGGCTCATCTCTGGTTAAGCAGACGACATCATAATCAGATCTCGCTATCAAAAGCATTTCAAGGAAGCAAGGATTAATAACAGCCTTTCCCTGACCTGCCCGGCCTGGAGCGCAGTGCTGGGAAGGGCTGCCGAGCGAGGCACTGCCGATAGAGTCAGCACAGCCTGAAGACGCAATCACCTCAAAGGCTGAGCTTTCTGAGAGACTGAACTGCATCTGAGACCAGGAACTGTGTCTGCAAAGCACGAATTAACCTTTCTGGCCCGTTTCTGATAATAGCTACACACAAGCTTGACACTGAGCACAGGAGACTACTTATGCTTAAAATTAGGCATGTGGCTATTTATGGCATCTCTGAGAACATTTTACAAATTAAAGAGGTCACTGCTAGTATATGTTCCAAGTGTGTTACTTATGCTCAAGCCAGCTCTGCATGCACCAGAGCTCGACAGCAATGTTACTAGGAGACTTTAAAAAATATTTTCTCCCATTTTGTAGACATCTCTAAGCAAAATAACATGGCATCTATCCATATAATATCAATTGCAAATTCTCCTGGGTAAATGTGACTTTCTGTCTTACAAATGTCTTAACAAAGAGGTGAAGGTCCCTTGCAGCAATGCAGGCAGGAGCCGAACATGGCCTCTCATCTTTCCTAATGCCGTTCTCCAGGCTGGCAGCTCCCTAAGGATGCCTGCTGACTATTTTTGTCTCTGTGACTACGTGATTGCAAAAGCTCACACATAAGCCCCAGAACAGCCTGCCGATTCAGTGTTAACCATGAAAGAGGTTGACATTTCTCAAAAACATATTGTTTTGTCCTAACTGATCACGACGCTTGTTTTGCCCTGATCTGAGACTTCCTTGCCTAAGAGGGCTGTCTTACCCACCCTTTCCTGCTAAAGACGCTACACGTTGGGCCGCCAGCTTCAACAGTATCTCATTTGAAAATCATTCACACATATTGTTCCACGCTGCAGCCATTCAGCATCACAACACTGTCCTGGTTCTGACTGGGACAGAGTTAGTTCTTTTTGGCAGCTAGAAGAGCTCCATGCCAGGCTAAACCACGACAAATACTAACAACCTGCCGGCAGCAAGCAAACTTGGGAATATGCCTGATGGCAATGCTCATGCCACACACATGGCACCCGACGCCATGAGGCCCATCGCTCTGGCCTCCCCCTGCCTTGCAGCGCGCTCCGAGCAGCAGCACGCCCATGCCACGGGAGTGGAGCTGGGCACTGCTCTGTGCAACAGGAAGAACAACACAAGGATAGCCAACAAGGTACTGTAACATTTTCCAGGACTGCTCCTTGCCTGGAACGGGTATCTGATGGAGTGCAATCGTGCAGCATCTAGTGCCATCCCTGCACTTTGCTGCTCTATGGGCAACAGCACTGAGCTGGAGCGCGCTGCCTCTCATGACAGCATGACAGCATGACAGCATGACAGCGTGACGCTTTGTGCTGCCTTTCAGCCTCCTTGCTTCCCTGCCAGCACTGCGGCAGCCACCTAGCTCCAGCCGACGTGGAGGGGAGGAGAAGGGAGCCTGCAGCCCCGCGGCTGGTGCTGCACCGTCCGTGCCGAGGAGCGCAGGTGGCGCGGGCGGGCACAGCCCAGGTGGAGGAGGAGAGCGCGGTGATGAGCTCATCCATGTGGGTCGGGGATCGAAGCTCAGGGAGCTAATGCCACCCTGCCACAGCACCACAATCCACGGGGCAACCGCCTACTAACTACTCAAGGGCACATTTTCCATCCTTAATTGTGATGCAAGTACACATTTACCCCACTCTTGCAGCGCAGCCCTCGCACCTGCATTTTGGGCGTGGAAAAGCCCCACCTGTAACTCTGCTCTCTGCATTGCCTCAGCCACAGTGCAAGGACCATGGCACAGCCCAGCGACCACATCACACATGGCATTCACAGCCTTCACAGGCAGAACAGATGAGGTACATTGGGCCTACCAGGACAGCAGGCAAGCACAGAAATACCACGTCATGCATGTATGTATGTATATGGAGACAGTATATACATTTCTCACTCAGAGTCACACAATAACCCCACATGCAGGCCTGGAGTATCGCATCTCAGTCTGCTATTTCTAGCCACTGCAGATGGTTGGATACCTTGGTGTATGGTCTTCTGGCCTCCATATTAGAATTTTAGTCATACTTCAGCGTTTAATCTTTTTCCTTCTATAAGAATAAAGCTCAAACTTACTTGTGTGCCTTTTTTTGCCCAGTTTCTATTGAAATACTAAGATTAAAATAAGGAAAAAAGGAAAAAGTTCAAGTAATATCTGTGACAGGAACACTGACAGTAAAGCAGCAGAACTGGATTCCCAAAACTTAGGATGCATATCAGCTTATTAAAATCTAGTCTATTTGTGTAAGTCTTTCCTATTTGCAACTTCACCACTGTTTCATAGCTGCCAAAGTATACAAACCACAGAGCTTACTTATCTTCTGACCCCATAAACATGACCTCATTATATATATATCTATACATATATATATCTTGATGCTAGGTTTTGCATATAGTCACCCAGTGAAACAGAGCTGTAAATAAAACACTGCTGATAGAGACAGCTTGTCCTCAAAACGTCAAACACTTATATTTTCTGAGCTTCCTCGCCTTCAAAAGCATCCTGTTATACGGCAAAGAGACCAAAACATGCATATGTGTTCACCACTCTGGTGCAGCAACCAGAGGAGCAAGTGGCACGCTGTCTTTGTAAATAGCTTTATTTAGAGACCTCAGGGGAAGAGATAGGGCCTGACTGTGTAAAGAATTCCAGCAAAGCCATTAGAAGCAGCTGGAAAAGTAGAGAGAATTCAGTTGTAATCTCCACTATTGAAAGGACCTGTATTTTTAAGAGATTTGGTTTCATTTACCTTGAAACCTTTCACTCACAGGTACATCTCTAGTTCCAGTCTTTAGCAGCATAAGCAGCATATATCCGGGAAACACTAAGGCCTCTTCTTTTCTGTTTAATGGGAGGTTGTTCCTGCAAGATTATTTTTGTACACCACAAGCAATCTAGGAAAGAAAACCACATTGTGCACATGCACTGACAAGTGTAAGAGAAAGAAGCTGCGATGAAGTCTTACTTTAGCATTTCAGGCTTTTCTTCAGATAACACTCTTAAAAATAACCCATTTCGAGGGCAAGGTCTCCAAGTGGGAAACGCACTCGATTCACAGTGTCAAGCCCATAGCTGGCAGTGGGTTTTGGTTCCAGTCCCTGGCCTTTGACTGATTACTTATTTGGCTTACCACTACCATACATGAGACTCTTACCTTGGACTTACTATTATATTTCACACCAAACAGAAACTGAGTAAAAGCACATATAATCTTGGGAGCAAGGAGCAGGACACAGGACTCTCCTCCATGTGGA